GAGTCTACAGTGCTAGTTCTTTTGGAGTTCTGAAAACAACTCTAAAGGGCATGAATAGGTCACAGGGCAAAATCTTGATTATAATTCAGAAAGAAGGCGTAGTTACTCTGTTCTTCATGGACTGTGGAAACACTCACTAGAAAGCCATACTTGTTTTAGAGGGTAGCTTTTGGCTGCTGCTGATTTCTGGCAATGCTTATCTACTAGAAGTACAGAGCTGCAAAGTTACTAATGAACATTTATCCATTTCACTTTCAGTTTACTTCTTTAACTGAGATGGACAAGATATAATCTCCATTGAGTCAAAGAATGGCATCTAGTCCTGTGCTTCCCACGGAAGATGAACAGGTTTCCTTGGGCATCGATGATCTCCATATTTCACTGCAAGGTAACTCAGATTGGGTGGGGTGACACCTGCAGAAACCATGGAAACCGTGTTCTCATCGAGTCACAAATCATACTGCTGTCTGTCTCTCTTAGGGGGATTTTTAATATATCTGTGTTTTTCCAACGGTAGAAACCTTTCAGTACACTTCAATTTCTTTATTGCTGTCTCAGCTCTCTAGAAAAGTAGGTGATACTTGGAAGGAATTTGGTATCTCCAGCTTCTTACCCTGAGTCTATGTATTTTATTTGCAGTGAAAAGTAAATAGTTAACCATAGTTTGCTTGGCATTGTTTGTACTTACTTTGTACCTTCTTGCATAACCTCTTTTAAAGGCACATTTCTTATTGTGCTGTGACAGAAAGGAAGAGTAGTAATATTATAAATGAATGACCTTTCAATCACGTGTATCATATGTACATGTATGTAAGTACTATCAGTTTTTGTTGTTAGTGCTTCTTGTGGAGCTTGGCAATATTTGTGTTGTATTTTGAAAATTCATTAGCTGCTAGATCTTCCACTTTTGTTGATAAAGGGAATCTTGGAGTTGAGTAAAGTTAGCTAGTATAAAAGAAATAAGACTATGGCAAATGTTTGAAAATGTGAAACTATGTATTTTAAAGTAATTTTAAGATTATGGGTAGTATTATGCAGCACTTTTTAAATTTTGTATTGGGTACATTTTTAGAATAAAGTCATAGATTTTGAGTCACTTACGATAAAGATTGCAAAATGACTTTCTTTCTGATATTTTCCTTTTAATTAAAAATCAGTTTTGAATGGTTTGCTTCTTGACTTTGGGGTTGAGATAGAAATCTATAGCTGTTGGAATAGACTATATGTCCCAGGCTTTTTAAAAGTAACTTTTGGACCAGGTGCAGTGGCTCATGCCTGTAATCCTAGCACTCTGGGAGACTGAGGTGGATGGATCCTTTGAGCTCAGGAGTTCGAGACCAGCCTGAGCAAGAGCGAGACCCCGTCTCTACTAAAAATAGAAAAGAAATTAGCTGGACAACTAAAAATATA